GACTCGAAAGTAACTACATCGACATTATTAGGGCTTGATAATATAGCCAAACAAAATTTTTTCATTCAATCCATAAAAATTGTAGTCAACGATTTTCCAATGCAAAAAAAATATATACCTAAAGAAGACAAGCCTCAATGTTAATATTTATTTAAATTTCACTAAAATATTTCAGTACAATTTTAGTATTATACGAGTGTCTTAAAAGTTTTTCTAAAACTGTCGATAACAGGGCCATCTACATCTAACTAACTTTAATATAAGTTATCTTATTTTAATATAAGTAACTAATCGCATTTATCTTACATTTTTATAACTCATTACATTTTTATTTCAGATTCTAACATTCACTTTATAATAGTATAAATAGCCTTCTATGGTCTTATGCTTATCCCGCATTTAATTATTTACTGGGTAAAAAGAATTTTCTACCTCTTTATAGAATTTCTATGTGAATTAGCAAACTTTTTTCAAATAAGCTTAGTACTCTAAGCTTTATATACATGTTCTTATTTTTTCAACTTTCAAAAAAAAAGACTTTTTAAATTTCATCATACCATACGTGCAATACAAACAATTTAAGAACTTTTTAGAAACATGTATACATATTTAACAGCACAATTAACATTATTTAAATTACTTAAATGGTTCTGTAAGTTGACCTCCTTAACAAATAAAGAAATACTTCTGTGTCTTCCATTATTGTAGAATTAAATGTAATTTAAATAATTAATCGCATATAATGATGTTAAATAGTGTTTACTAACTTGTATGATGTTTTTATCCTTACAGTTTATTTCTTATCGAGATTTTCGAATAAAATAAATTTTCAAATGAAGTTATGTGCATACATGTATATGTTTAAATGAGTATTTAGATCCATAGAGGTTAGTAGGGTTCTAGCGAAATTCCGTATCAATGATGTATAGGGCTCTGGAGGGCAGCTGGGACCAAGGAAAGCTCTGAAAAAGGTGGTGGATGTTGTATGATTCACCACTAAGTTGCTTTGGGGGTTGAAATAAAACCTGAGCTCAGCCAAAATAAGGAAGAAAGAAATGTTTTATCCTATGTCGTAGATAAAAAGTGGCGGGGGGTTAATATGGGTCTGTGAAGGTTGAGGATGTCCCTAAGGGGTTTATGTGAAATTCTTGCAATAAACTATTCAATTTACGTAGATGTATATATGTGTATACATTCTTCTATGTTATATAGTTGTTCGGGTAAGGGATTCTAAACAAAATCCTGACAGCCCCCTTACGACTCCCTACAGACCTTCGTTGACCCGCGACAAAATAAGGTAAAATTTCATTTCATTTTTTTTATTACGGCTTAGTTTACTTTTCATTCAGATCCCCTACAGCTCCACCTAAAATCACCCACATGGATCAAGAGGCGACCGCAAATTTTCTGGACTATAATTAGGAAGGGCGAAAAGTGTGTAGGCAGGTGTAATTTCACAAAAGAAACAAAAACTCTTGTATTGTGGGGATCCAATCCACTGCGTTTTAATGCAAAATGCATTTTAGTAAGAATGTGTCGATAATCACCAAGAAACAGACAAAACTGTAAACTAGTACCCATAAGGTAGAACTCTGGTAGGTTTCTACTTATCCAGCGTAGAACAGTAATCTGCTTTGTACACACAAGAAAAGCAATGTGCATATGTAAAACAACCAATAACACTGTTTCATAGTTTGCCAACAATACATAGTGAACGAACAAAAAATATGATTAATTTTCTTGCGTGTACAATGCAGATTACTATTTTACGCTGGATAAGTAGAAACCTACCAGAGTTCTACCTTATGGGTACTAGTTTACAGTTTTGTATGTTTCTCGGTGATTGTCAGTACATATTAAGTAAAATGAATTTCACGTAAAAACGCAGTGTATTTGACCCTAACAATATGATAGTTTTCTGTTTTTATTGTTTAAATACACGTGCTTGCACGCTTTTCATCCTTCCTAATTATAGTCCAGAAAATTTGCGGTCGACTCTTAATCTAACAGCTCTCCAGTTTTCTCCTCCCAACTAATTCCACATGATTTTCATTGACCACCTACCACGCCCCCACCGTTAACCACACCAATTCTGTAAAATCTTACTGACACCCTTCTAACCTTTACGGACCCCGACACTTATTCATACATATACGTGTGTACGTATGATTTCATTTAAAAAATTCATAATATTAGCTATCACAAGACATGAATTTTAAAAATAAACTATACATACATTTTTGTATATTAGTGAACATTATTTTCAGGTAACATATATATTAATAACACGATAAATATATGTAGACCTTATTTTCGTTAATCTAAATAATGTTTTTTTTTTTTTTTATTGAAACACTGCGGCGCACTCTAACGACCTCATACACACTTAACATTAACTTTTTAATACATATTTTTATGAATTTTTTCACATTGCCAGGGACAGAAAAGACTGTTTTTTGTGCATATGAAGAATTTATATCTAAATTATTGATATAACTACAAGGAAGGTCAGAGATAAATGTACAATATATTTTTTTTTTTTTTTCATTTGACATGAAAGTATAAAGATGTGAGTGCCCTTTTTTCTAGCAATATTAGTAATGAACTATGTAAAAACGAAAATTTTTTATTTGTCTTCATACGACATGATACCAATAATACATCCATAAATTTAGTAACAATTAGTTATACAATAATACAAACCGTGGAAGTATTGCACTATTAAGAAGGCTTATTGCTATGACTCAACTTACAGAACTAGTCAAGTAACTTGATTCATATTCATTGTGCTGATAGTATAGTGCTGTATGCATGCTCATAATAAAGTTTCGTAATCACTTGTGTGTTAAGTAATGTGTTACAAAAGTAAAAAAAGTATTTTCTTTTAATTGTTAAGAAATTAAAAACAGAGTTAAAGTTAAAAAAAGAAATGCATGCAAACAGTTTCTTATTATTCTACGTAATTCAAGCAAGAACTATCTCATTTTGTAAAAATGCCTTTTGTGGGTGAACATACATTTTATTGCAGGAAAAAACAGAGTCAGCAAATCAATGAGTGTTTGTGCGCGAAACGCGCAGAGGAACAAAGCCCTACTATTATTAAGATATCAAGGTTTTTGAAACGTAATTTGAACACACTACGCGTAATTATGAGATGTATGCTAATAACAGAAAGTTATGCAGACTGTCTGCATAAGTACGACTTTGACTTCATAATAACCATTAAAATTATTTTTCTTTCTAAGAATGTTTTTATGAGTCACCTTTGGTCAACATATACCCACACAAAATGTATTAATATATAAGCTTATAGAATCTGCATGAATCACTCTCCACAAATACATACAAATTTCTTACCATACAATACACTTTCTTTAGTGGTTTTGTCTACGACTTCTTCTATTGTTTGTATTATTTATCCTCAATTTATATTAAAAAAAATCTGGGCAAAATCTCTTACTCGTACTACTACATCAATACTTTTATCCATTTATGTAAGTGTAGCTTCGGTCCGCTTTGTGCTTTGCACATTAACCTCATATTTACACATTATGATTAAACTAGTATCCTTTTTTATATAAACTTTTTATTTTTAGCTTACTAAGCGTTAAACATGTTATAATTGAGTATTTAGTACATGCAAAAATTCATATTTAAGAGTTGATAATACTTTATACTACAAAAAAAGAATTGAATAATACGTTTTGTTTATAGGGTACTGTGAAGCTATACAAAAAAAAGTAATCCATCACAATGGTATTAATGAGTAGATTTTTTCACTACTCATCAGGTATGACTTTTATTTGCCTTACGGGCATTGTGAGAAATATATGATCCATACAACTTCAGTTATAAGGGTCAAAAGAAGCTTTTTGACATCAAAAATATCTATGTGAAAGTTAAAACTAGAGTTTAAAAATTTCAACCAATCAAAATTAAAATAATTATGAAATATTTTACTTTTATTTAAAGAGGTTGCCGGGAAGATTGCTTCGACCGGATTAAAAAAACTAAGACTCTCCTTAGGAATACTCAGGAATGTTGTTGAGTAAGTTAGCGAATGACTCATGTTCTTTAATAATAAAATGATTATCTGACATCAAAATAATCTAGGCTATTGAAGGGGGATATTAAAGGAATTAAAAAGTTGATCCATTTAAATTCACAGGAAAATCTAACGAATTTCACTTAATTTTATAGAGGCTATCAGAGCTCTGTAAAAGGCAATAAAATATAGATAAGGCTAAGGAGAGAATAAAGAGATTTCACGAATCTACTGGGTTAGAAATACAGAAAAATAATACGAATTTTTTTTTATTTTGTAAGTGGCTGTACAAGAGCGATTAGAGATAGGGAAGGAGGTGTGGACTAACTTAATCTTGTTTTGCTCTTGTTTCCAAGAAATTGTTAAATATTACTAATATTTTTAATTTGCCATATCATTTAAAATTACGTGTGCTTATTCTTTTGCTTATTTTAATTAGGCTGTTTTTATTAATACAGAATTTCAACAAAGCTGGGATTTGCATTTAAAGTCAAATACACTTTATTCATTATCAATAATAACGATAATGTTATCAGTAATTTTATTCTTCAAATACTTTTTGAATAAAACCTTTTTATTTCAATTCAAATCATCAAAATAGTACAGAATCACAGCACGCTGATCACCTAAAGGGAGAGGGCGGGAGTAGAAAGCAGAGCCTTACCAGTGCACATTTAATGTACATATTCTGCAATATACACGTTTTTCCTGAAATAAAACTGAAACATAATATAGAGATCAATAAAATTTATTGAGTCAATAATATTAGCCATGTAACAAAGATTTCATAAAAAAACTTTTTCTGAAATGACTTTTTTTTCATCCGTTGAATCATCAGCTTAGACTAATCATGTAGTTTGTTGGGACAGCATGGACAAAGAGAGATGCTTGAAGGGACAATAAGTTAAATTATAAGTCATCAGAGCAATACAGATCATTTTTTGTATGATGGCCATGTATTTAATATTCCTAGATAAAGCATAGAAAATATACACATTTGATCATGTTCGAATGTCAGAAGATAAAATAATATTACTAACCCTAACAAAATCAGTATAATTGTTTTAGATTCTTTTTTTTTCATCTGAAATCTAGTACGATTCTTTTATCAGTCGGATACTACATTTTAAAGATATGATTTCGTTATAAAATAGTTTTTTTGAATCACTTGAAAATTTTGTAAAAAAATTAGATAAATCATTAAAGCTTATGAACATTGCACTTGGGTATATATTGATCAGTGTCAAGAAGCCATCCAGTTGTTAGAGCACAACAAAAATGCACAATAGATTTACAGCCTCTTTTAATACATCCAATATTCGCTCCTGATAAGCCACAAAAATTACAAAATGATTTATTGGCATCCAGCACTGCATCTTGTAGGCCATTAATTCTTCCACCTGCAAAAAAACTATTGTTAACAAAAAAATTTCCTAAAAGTTTATACGTAATCATATTTATACGCTAATAGTTTATGAAACTATAAAGAGAAAAATTACGACATTTCCTATTCAATATAAAGTGTACGACAGACATATTTTCAAATCAAGTGATCACTCACACTAACAAGGTAAAACCGTTCTTTTTGCTCTTTGAAAAACTTTTGAAGCCAAACTCCTTATGTAGGGGATTCGCTAGACGAAAGTAGGAGAAAGCGTCACACTTTTTCTTGCCCTCTTTGTTTCTATTCGTTCCCCAACCACCGTTTGCTCTCTCGACAACGAATAGTATATATAGTACAGCGTACAACACATGTGCATAAAATCGCACGAGCACGATCTCTCCCTTTCTTTTTCTGTGAGAGTTGTTGGTGGGAGTTCAATAGTAGAAATTTTTTAATGTAAGTGCGTTGTGCAAAGAGACAAAGAGATAATTATTGTAGCTTCTTATATATTACCTAATTCTTATGTTAGCAAAATGATTGAATTTATTCACGATCAATTATTTATTAATGCATACAGACAAGGATTCTTCACTACTTAAAAAAATTCATAATAAGATTCCTATAGTGGTTAACAAAAGTTTTAATGCTCACTTCTTTTCCACAGCTGCAGTACCGTTAATTCAATTTTTGGAAAAAAAAATTTAACTTCAGTATGATTCATAACCACGACCAATAATTTTCTTAAAATAACCAATATCATTGTTTCTTCATACATCAATAGATGATAATACGTGATTCATGTAAAACAAAAAAAAAGATTATTTTAAATTTAGTGACCTTACTAAACTATCGCGAAAATTTTAAAGTTAAATTAGACTCAAGAAGCTCTTCAATCAAACGGATCAAGTAGAAATTTTTAAAATAAAATGTCGAAAAAATACATGTTACCGCGTGACGTATTACCAAACGGCTTAAAAGTTTGAGCAGTTACAAAATTTACGCTTTCCAAATATAACAAGTGCTAATGTTGGTAAGAGTTCAATAGGAGAAATTTTTCAATGTAAATGCCTTGTGCAAAGAACCAAAAAGATCATTATTGTAGCTATTATTATATCATTAAATACTTCAGTATCCACAATGATTGAATATCCAAGAAAAACTAGTAATGTATACAGACGAGGGTTCTGCAATACGTTAAAAAGATTGTGATACGATTCCTATAGTGAAGAACGAAAATTTTAATGTTAAATTTTTTTTTGAAGCTGCTGTACCATTAATTCAACTTTTGGAAGAAATATTCAACTTAAATATGATGAATATTAAATTGCAATCGACTACTAAATATGGAACTATCATCGATGCCGTCTTTGCTCGTTATTTAAATAAAGTCGAATCATTGATTATTAATTAAAATTTCTTGTACCCCAAGCCCACAGTTACTACTGTTTCAAAGCCAAATTAGGTCTTCAGTGTCTGCAACATAATGTAATGATAAATAAGCACGAATAAATTTTGTACTTTTTAAGTAACATAACGCTAATAAACTACAAAAAAAATATGTAATTGAGAAACCAGTTTTTGTATAAAAAAACATTATTGAAGCTTCATTTCTTCCGTGGGTCTCGCAACCCATAGTTTTTTATTCTTGTTCGATAGGTCTTTTTATAGGCATGGATTAATGTTAAAGAGTGTTAGGGCTTTTAAGTAGAGGATAGGTAGTGCCAGGCACCAGGCTGGAAAGCACCAGTTTTACCAGCAAGAAGTAGTCAGTGAAATATGGGGCTCCTCTGGGAATGCCAATTAGCCTGGATCCAGTACTTCGGCAGAGAGCATCAGCTTGCTCTGCAAGGAATAGGCACCTGTAATATAAAGTCTTCTCCAGGGAAGGGCTACACAGTGACAAATGGACCTGATGCACCACTGGAGCAGAGTGCCAGCTTAACTAGCAAGGTGTGACCCTACCGTAATGACTCCTACCAGAAAAAATCACTTGGAGCCCATAATATGATAGATGTGGTGTTAGTTAGGTAAACTGGACATTAAATAAGGCAATACACCCCTACCTGGAGGTATAATAGCTTTACTAATTATAAAACTTTTGCACATGTGCTTTATGACTGGAAGTATTTACCTAAAATCGCTCCTTAAAGGTAATAATTTTCCACCGAATGGAAAATTATTATCACATAAATTATTGAATGTTTTATCCACTCATTCCAAAATTTTTTTTAGGAATCATTGAAGCTTTCTTTCGAATAATTCCATTTACTTCTCATTATTTTTTTATTTTTTTTTTTAATAAGCTTTGTATTCTTAAAATAAACTTTCAATGTTATTTAAATCTCATGGTAATTCAAATGTTCCATAACTTGTCATTCCTTTAGGTAATAAAATTGAAGCAATTCCTGCCTAAGTCATCGATGTAACTTCTTTTTGTTTTAACAAAAAATAAAAATTAATGCTTTATACACAAGTGTTTTTGCAAAACCTCGTGGACCATCAATAAAATCNATAAATACAAGGTACCAACTTAAATGTGTTGTACATTTTAATGATTATCGACAAATAATATACCCTTCTAGATGAATAACTTGTGTTTTTTGCTTATTTTTAATCATTCTCAGACATTATTTGCATCAAAAATACTTATTACGTTGTATTGATTTGTAAATGTTAAGAAAATTTTTTTTTGCATAAATTGTAAAATAGTTAAACATCAAGAAATTAATAAGTTATGAAAAAAATTATGTCAGTTAAGTAACGTTCTTTTTTCATAAACATTAAACTAAAATAAATAAACTTAGTTTTATAATTTATGTTAATAAAATTGGATTATTTTAAATTCTGTACCCTTGATCTTACGGTTCATTCACGATATATATGTTTTAATGAAGCTAATGTATTACAAAATTATAAGGATATCAAAAAATTAAAATTTAGTTATTTAACTGTATTCTAAGAAATTCTATTGTAGAAACTTAATAATATATGCATACATTTCTTAAAATACAACTAAATAACTAACTGATATTTATTGATATTCTTATAGTAATGTAATACTTGAGTGATGTATACACCGTGTATCCAAAATGAGTGAGGAAAACTATAATACGCAATAAAGCTCGTCAAGACTGATAGAAAAGCTCTTTACAAAATTTTGATTTGATGCGCATTCTCCGGGGCATTGACAAATTAACATTAATAATTTCGGCCAATCACAGAGCGCTTAGCGTCAGGGGGCGGGCTCTCAGTGCCGATAGTGTAATCGACACTTGATGGAGGGTGCGGTGGTGGGGAAGTGCCTAGGAAAAAAGAAGGTTGGTAAGCAGAGTTTAGCTTTATCGACTGCAGAGAATCAATGAGTGGTCGAACCAGGGACGTAATGCAAACACTGCCGAAATTAATGAGGATGTAGCAATAATAAAAGGGATAATAGAAGAATGCTCTTGGTAGTAATAAGCTGAATAACCAATTCACTTTTCTCCCAATTTTTAGCACATCTCTAAAAATAAACTCTACAGAAAGAAGAAGAAGTCATAAAAGGACGTTGGCAAAGCGGTATAAACGCTTTACTCAAATTGCCACTCCTTGAGTATAGATAGCAAAAATAATAATTTCTCACCTTTGAGCACACTCGCTGGTGACAGCTCAGTAAACTCCAAAAATCAAGACTAACTGACCAGTTGGCTTATTCCAAATCTAAAAAACGATCAATGTATGAATTAGAGCAAGCACATAATTTTCAAGTGTCAGATGATGGTTCCACTAAGAGGAGCAGTCCATTTTATGACTTTCCACTTCCTCGCATACTCACTGGTGGAAAATACGTAAGATTACTCAACTGAGACCAACTGACCAGTTAATCCACTACACAACTAAAAACAAAGATAATTAGAGTACACACTAGGGCAAATACAAAAACTTTGAGTGTTACTGTAACTTTTAGTACTAATCCACTGGAAGGCTGTTCGAACACTTACTGTTGACTACTCCATATACTAGCACAACTGAAACTTTCTTGCCAGTCAGTTCAGTGCATAACTAAAAAAACAAAATCTGATTACAAGCTAGGGCATGAACAAAAATGACAAGGGTTGCAGGATGCTTTTGGTACCAGTGGAAGTGTACGTGGCGCAGGTGCTCTTCATTGTCAAACTAGAATACCTCTTCATTTGCCGAACATCTCTCAAAATGAATTCTTCGGGTTAACCACAAATACACAAAACTGAGGACCAGGTATTGTTTAGGTAAAAAAACTGTATTGCATGTGCAGCATTATCTAAAATGTAGATAACCACAGAAAACCACGCATTTACAAAAATCAATGTAAATGAATGGGTACATGTTGCATACGTATCTGACGTAGCAAGATTTACATAAACTATGTTCGGTACCATAACACGTAACTTTTGATGATTAGCCCACATCCTTACTTGCAGGCGCAAGCTGCTGTGACGGCATGGCCGGTGCTCGGGTAGGTATCAGGCTTTTTCGGAGTCTCATCTTTGTTAACACGTCAAGCACGTCTCTAATGACCGCAGAGGAGCAGACGAAAAAGAACCGACGATATACCTCTACTTATTAAAATTTTTTGAGATGCAAGGAAAAATTAATTTGGAAAAAAAAATAGAGCCAAAAATCCGCTAATACACATTTTACTTTACGAAATTTCAGTAGTAGAAGTTTTTTTTTTTTTTATACTCGTTTTTTTTGTAATTTTGTCTGCTAACTATTTGACTTGTTTGCGATCACTCTCTATAAAGTATTGTGCTACAGCTTTTGTGTCAGTTTTTTAATTACCGTTATTTTGACTACGGAGCCTCTCGGTAATCGCGCAAATTATAGTATTGAGGACTACACGCAAATGGTGTACTTCTATTACCTGGCGCAGGAAAACCTAGATGAAGATGCACGTTTGTATCAAGGTCGTTGGCGAAATTGTCGGTATCAAGATCCTCGAACGATTGGGGCTGTTTATCGCAGACTCCTTGAAACAGGAAGTGTTTTACCTGGCCG